TAACAACTCGGTTACAAATTTTAGGAGTAGAATTGATAGATCATTCGTAAAAATATATTTCTAACAACTAAATTAAACAATTAAAAAATCTTAATTAAAACCCATTTGCTTTTACATCGAACGCCTTCAGTGGTTCCATTTCACTAGCAAATCTGCTTTCATAGCAAGCTCTTGCAGCAGACCATATTCTATCTTTTAATGCAAGTCTAGTATGCTCTTTCTTGAAGTTATTATACATATGTTTCACACACATGCGGTGTTCAACACCAGGCAGTAGCTCATGTATTTCTTGAAATGGATCTTATGTATTTCCACCAGATGATGCTTCAACTGCACCTTCTCCTTCTTATCCTACTGTTTTCGGTCTCATGCCAATGCAGGAAACAGCTCCCTCTTCAGCGCCATTGACCAGAGTTCATCCCATCTCAACGTTGACTGTCACTCTACTTGTCCTGTGTGTGAGTGTGATTGCCATTGGCAGCGTTTGAATGATCTGAATCTGAGTAAGAGACATTTTTAATGGTTTGCAAGAGGATACAATCTTCCAAATCTCCAGAAGTTTATTTGTTCGGATTATTTCTGCATATATAGTTTTGAATTAGGCAAATTGATTTGGGTTTGCCTTCTTCTATTCTCTTTTGAAGAAGCAAATGGGTTATAATTAAGATTTTTTAATTGTTTAATTTATTTGTTAGAAATATATTTTCACAAATGATTTACCAATTTTACCCCTAAAATTTGTAACGGGGTTATTAGATGGTTTGATTCATAACTGAGAGTTGATTTTTAGGATGAAATGCTTGGATTTTTAAAAGTGAAGGACCAATTTGTTTCGTTTTAAATGTAAGGGTCAAAAAAAATTTTTTTACGAAATGTGAAAGATGAAACAAGTTATTTTCCCTTATAAATATCCAAAAAAAAACTCACCATTGTATGGACCTTAATCTCAATACAATTTTTTCTTCTTTTTGCAAGCCTCATTACAATTAGTATTTATATCTCTTTTTTTTGTTAAATTTCTACAATGCTTGAAAATCGGTAGAACCATCCAAAGCAAAATTATTAGTATAATTCATTCAATAAAATTGTCCACTGCGATCATAGTTGTAATAGTTGAGGCCTCCTCTTCCAAATTATTTCTTTAAAATTTCCTGCTTCGGTTATAATTTTTAGCCAAGAGTTAATTGCAGTGTTTGCAAATTTATCTTCTGACGATTAGGGCTTTACATATTTTAGGAAAAACAAACGTTTTTTTTAAGGCAAGGCTGACGGTATGGCTACTGGCTAGGTAGCCGCCAAGTCTTAACGGTATGCTTAAAGCTTACCACTTCATAGTTTACACCAACTTTGTTAAATACCAAGACCTTTTTACGCTTCCGCTGTTTTTATTAAAAAAAAAAAAAAAAAAGAACAAGAATGCGATATATGACTTGTCATAACATGGATATTCATAACTGGTTGAGGTACCGTTCACGCCACCGCACTTGAGGCTGCAAACGAATCGAACCGCTCGCGAGCGGTTCGAATCGAGCTCGAGCCGGCTCGCGAGCTTAAGTATATATATATTTTTTTATTTTTATTTTTATTTAATAATAAAATTACGTATATTATATATATTTTTTATTTTTTATTTTCATAATGAAATTACGTATATATCCTTAATATTTTATTATTAATTCAGAAAAAAATATTATTTTATTTATTTTTTTAAAAATAAAATATTTTTTTTATTTTTTTCGAGTTCGGCTCGACTTGATTCGAGTCGAGCTCGAACTCGAAAATTGCCAGCTCGTCGAACTCAAGCTCGAATTTGGTAAAATTTAATCGAGACTCGGTTCAATTAACTCAAAACTTGACTCGGTTCGGCTCGTTTGCAACCCTAACCTCACTATATATAAAGTAGTAGACTAGTCGTAGCATATATCTAACGTGTAGAATTCGTTATGGCTGTCAGGTTTTAATTTCACTTATCATTGGAAAGTCAAAATTCGCATGCAAGCTTTCAAGGTTGTGCGCCATTCCCTCCCCAGCCAGCTGTTTTCTTTTCTCCCGAATATGGTCAGCTTTTGCTGGATGCAAGTTGTTGCTTTGGTCAAAAAAAAAACAAGAAGTTGTCGCTTTGGTCGTAATTCCCGTAATTCCCATTCAGCAAATTCGGCCCCCAGGACCGTTTCAGGCTTTCAGCCGATTCGCACGTCACGTCATTGAAGGCCTGCATACATTTGCTCCAAATAATTTTTTATTTTATTTTATAAAACAAAAGCCAACAGTATTAATAAACTGGATGGAAATCATGCTACACGATTTGCTTGATAAAGAAAATCATAGTTATTAAAATCAACTCGGGTATCAACCCAACAGGAGGATCGAATTGATGGATTAGTGGTTTAATTGATGGATCGTAGGTTGATTCATTGGATCACACTGCATAATAAAAAAAATATATAATATAATTAAATAAACATATAAATTATAATATAAGTACAAAAATTTTTAAATATTAATAAGTTATAACCTATTCATGTTTCATAGTTCATACACACAAGCCATATCCATACGTGTTCCTTATTTCATGAATTCATATTGATATTATATATAAACATAAATAATAAATCTAAGTGTCCAAAAGAGAAATAAACCCTAATTTCCATATTTCTTTTCAAATTTTCTCATATATTTTTCAAAAAGATGACAATGCCCATGTTGGTGTGACTGGTCAAATTAAAAAATTGAGTAAAAAGGTAATTTTAAAAATATTTCAAAACCCACTGAGTTTACCGGGTCACCGATTCAACCGTTTGACTCAAACGATTCAAAGCGAATTATCTGCCACTCTAGTCCAATTGTTGAACCGGCTCGATACCATGACAGTATCAGTGGTTTGACCAATTCAACCGTTGGACTGGACTGAGTTTAAAAACTATGAAGAAAGCTAAATTAATGGTAGGAAAATACAAAGAGCGTGATACAATTATATGTAATCTGAAAAATTATTAAATTTACTAGAGTTATAAAATAAGAAGGATTACACTCTGAATCACTAATCATCAAATCTAACCAATTCCACGAGCTACTCTATAAATATCCATGCATGACTATTTCCTCAAATCCACTATCCAACTAATTTAAGTTTAAAACTGATGCTGCTGAAATCTGTGTTTTAAAACTCGGATCGGACCGGCCAGTTCGATTGATCGAATCGAGAACCGGCCAAGTGTCCGGTCCGAGTTATGCTTAAAAACTGGGTAAGTAAAAATCCAGTCAAATTTGGTCAAAAATGGGTTTGACCGGAAAAAATCGGATTTTTTTTCTGTTCAAACAACATTTAAAAAAAAAAAAGCTCGAACTTTTTCAATATTACGTTTTGACCCCTAGATTGTTAAAAATTATTAATATATCTCAAATATTTCATACTTTATCAATATTTTCTTAAAGTTTGGTATTAATTTTCAATTAAGTCCATAATTTTAATTCTAAACTTGTTAATGCTCATTAAATAATATAAATTGTTACTTGATTGTTCTAATTTCTTTGTATTTTATTATTAAATATATTTAAAACATCAAATATATATGAATATATATTTATTAATATTTACATGTTATTAGGTATTTTACATATAATATTTTAATTTTTTAATAATTTTTATTTATGACGTCATCCGGTTCAACCCCTATCGAATCTAGTTGAACCCATTAACCCTTGACCCCCTGAGTTTGGCCGAGTCGATACTCAGTCCGGTTATGAAAATATAGGCTGAAATCATTAAACATATGCTCGAGTTGGGCGTGGCATTGGGGGGGGGGGGTTGGAGGGATTTTACAATTAGGTTGTTTAATTCAATAATCTATGTATACTCCAACTCGATAATGGAATATTGAAATGAATTTTAACATGCCTTCGTTGACAATTAAGTTGAATCGATTAATAGCGAGAATGTTGTGCTAGTAAACATAATTGCATTTGAAAATGGAAAAATTACTTGGTGCAATTAATGTTGCGTCTAATTTTGTACAAGAAGCCCAATATAAATCATCTATAAGTAAACCTCTTATATTTTCTATGCACCTTCATTTATTATCTATAATCTATCAAATAATTAAATATTTTGTGAATAATCACTTGTTGCACAACGATTTTTCGTCCCAATCTCATGCAAATTTTTTTAAATTTTTATTTTTATGGAAGTTTCCAAGCCTTATAAAAAGGGAAAGAAGAAAGAATGGGGGGCTCTGAAAGTTAAACTAGAGAATTGAAGATCACTTAGCTAATATGTTATTACTAGTTAAATTAAATTTCGAGAACAAATTTTATTTACTTTGTTGGCAAATAAACCGGCGATGAGCAAATTAGTAATTTACTCCCCGTGCTTTTCTTGATCCTTGGAGACTGACATATAATGTGCATCAAACTAACACGAAAGCCACGGATATGTACACAGCTTTTGACTCTGATGGCTGGGAATGAAGAGTTTAGGCATGTAGTAAAATTAAAATGTTCCCGAACGGGCTAACACCCTTTGAATTTCACATCATGCGAATCATCATCCTGTCATCCTATTCAGTTTGCTCTTTTTGTCTTTTGACCAAAATTTTTGTTTTCCTTTTGTACGACCTTAATTGGTCTTCGATATCAAACTAAAAAAAAGATGTCCGTTGACTTTTAACTCCTCAAGTTTTCCAAATGTTTTATATGTTTCCACAAAAAAAAAAAAAAAAAAAAAAGAGGAAAATTTCCACATGTTTGCGTGCAGAATTAAGCATTGCCATGTGCAATTAATGCTTCAACACTTCTTTAAATTACTGGACTTTCAAAACCAGCGGCTTAAACTTTGGCTCCTACATCATTTAATTTTTGGATCTTGACTTGGATAAGGATAATTAATGCCACGGCTTCAAATTGGAGTTGGTAATCAGCAGTGGATGTTAATCTATTAACTATTAACCCACTTTTTGGATACCATTTACGATGTTGTTGCAATAGATTCAACATCCACATGCGATTATTCCATCCATTCCATATCCTATCCTTCAACGTCCGAAACCTCAACAAGTTCGAAAGCGCACACACAAATAACAGAAACATGCGGAAAGCAAATTTCCTTCCCATCTGGGATTTTTAAAGTGAAAACGGGGGGAGAAAAACTCATCTATCAAAAAAGTAGCTTTCCAAGCCTTTTTCCTCAGCCAATCCACGACGACAAAATTGGGATACACCAGAAGAATAAAAGAAATCAAGAATCATATAAGCATTAACGGTAGGAATAACAGTAACAAAGTTCTCTGATCGTCTGTCCTATAATCTTATTCCACTTCACGGCAACATTTTGTTGTTTTCTTTCCTTAGAATTACATTTGCATTTTTTTAACCTCATTAGAATTATATATATGTATACAGTACCTTGATAAAATCTTCGTCCCCAAAAAGAGGGGAAAAAAAAATAAAAATTCCTCAAGGTTTCTTCCACGAGTTCCCTTCATTCGTCACGGGCACAGGGCCATATATTCAGCTCTCATTAAAGCTACCAACTTTGTTAAGAGTAATTTGTGGAGTATTTGGTTTCTTTATTTATTTCTTTCTTTTGGTAGTAAAACTTTTGGTTGCATAGGATATTGGGAGATGGGGAAGGTGGCGGTGACGGTGGCGGTGGTATGTGCGGCGGCCGCTTGCGCGGTGGCAGCGCTGGTAGTTAGGAATCGCATGAAGAGTTTGGGGAAGTGGGCTAAGGTTATGGCCATACTTAAGGAGTTCGAGGAGCAGTGTGGGACACCCACTGCCAAGCTCCGGCAAGTCGCCGACGCCATGACAGTAGAGATGCACGCCGGACTTGCTTCTGAAGGTGGCAGTAAACTTAAGATGCTTATCAGCTACGTTGACAACCTCCCCACCGGGTATGATGATCTCTGACTTATTTTTTCGGTATTTCGGAGTTCATATTTTCTGTTACTGTCGAGATAAAAAAGAAATTTGTAAGTAAAAGTTGTGAACTTGGCAGCGTTTGGAAGTAAAATTTTCAACTATTTGATTATAGTAGTTAGATCACTTTTAGCTTTATAAGTTGTTTATGGGTTAATTTATCAGATAGCGTGTAATATAGGTGAATCAGGTGATAAGTCTTCCTGCTGAAATCAAAATGCAATTTGTCTTTTTTCCTGGGTGTAACTGTTTTTCTTTTGTTTTCTTTTTTGGATTGTATTTGTAGCGTTTGGTGATTTGCATCTGTGAGGTGTGAAATTATAGATGTCAATTTCTCCAGGGAGAAAAATTCTTCCAATTTATTGATTTTTTAGTGATAAATCATGAGTCTTGATGCTAGCTAATCTGCGAAGTCGGAAGTAGTATCTATAAGACAAACACTTCCTCTGATGAAAATATAGACAACTTTTAACCGTCGAGTTATGATTATTCTAAAATAGTTGAGGCTCGTGAAGCATAAGTTCTAAATTTTGATTATAAACTGACATTCACATGATACTTTACCTATGGAGACGGGATTCTTAGGGTTCCCTTCTAATTGTTTCAAGATTGGTCTCTTATTTTGAACCGCACATAAGGAATTAAAAATGTTGAACATAATCACAAGGCATTAGTATCAGAGATGGACTGTGGCTATTGAAAATCATCAAAAGTATTACCAGACAACAATATGTCTACTTTTGAGGTTATATTCTGGGAACTAAGTGTAAGTTCAAAACCAATGAATATGGATAGTGATGCTTTCTCTCTTGCAGTTGTGACAGGACCATAGTTTAGGAATTGTTCCTAAAATTCCTCTGGTAATTCCTTTTAGAGCACATATCTAGCATAGCATTGTAGTCTTTTGTTAGTTTTCCTAGAAGCATGAAGATATATAGTGGCATTCATCTTAAGTATTCTTGGATGCTTTAACCAAGTTGCAATGTATGCAATATGTTCCCTAACACAAATTATTTCCTGCAAACTTGTGCATAACCTTTCTTCTGTGGACCTATTGTTTTGTTTCAAGAAAAAAGTATATCACATATTCATTAATGAGATATATATACTTGGGATTAAATGTTCTAATGACTTCCCTTTTTTCCTTGTGAAGGGATGAGAAAGGGTTATTTTATGCATTGGACCTTGGCGGTACAAACTTCCGGGTACTACGTGTGCAATTAGGTGGACATGAAAAGCATGTGGTCAAAAGAGAATTTCAAGAGGTTTCAATTCCTCCACACTTGATGGCCGGCTCAACAGAAGTAAGTGTCAACATAAAAGCAATAACAAGAGATGCTGATTAGGTGCTTGCTTACTGAAGTTCAAACCTCTAACTTCTGCTGCTTTCAGGCATTATTTGATTATATTGCTGGTGCACTGGCAAGATTTGTGGCTACAGAGGGTGAAGATCTTTGTCTTCCGCCTGGTAGGCAAAGGGAGCTGGGTTTCACCTTTTCATTCCCAGTTCAGCAATTATCTGTAGCATCTGGGACTCTTATCAAATGGACAAAGGGCTTCTCAATAGAAGATACAGTCAGTACCTGGCATTTATTTATTTCTTGGTATCATTGAAAACTTGATCAATCATTACTTGCAGTATCTGCTTTTATTTGGTGTTTAATTGAATGAAAGGTTTGAGGATTGTGGAGGCAGGACCATTGTTCTGAGAATGTTTTCAGGTCTTACACCTTGTAAATAACAAACAATCTCTTTGCTTTCTGTTGACATCAATTCCAGTGTTGTTAGAAAAGCAAGCAAGAGTGTATACACATGCGCCTTGGTGTTTGCTTGCCAAAAAGGGAAAAAAAAAGGAGGAGGAGAAGAAAGAAAGGTCTGACATTGATGTGTTAATTTAGATCAAAAGGAGAAAGGATCCAACTCACCAATTGGGCCATGCCACCACATAAATGGTAGGATACATATTAGAAGTTTACATTTGCTAAGAGGTAGATTCTTTGTAATTGATCTGGTGGTAGGCTCAGTGGCCAAATTGACCAACAAAAAAGACTATTTGGCTTAAACGCATTGCACTTTATTAATTGTTGGAGAAAGGGCATAACAGGAAGAGTTGCTTCTTAGTTCTTACTTGCCCTCTCTCATTCTTTCAGTGGCATCTCTGCCTTCTCTCAACATTCGAACATTTTGATTTCTCGCTCTTGTCTCCTCTTTTCCTCTTTCTTTCGTGGTGCAAGCCTGTCCAATTTTTTTTAACAAACTTGTTCATAATTAAGTTCTATTTGACAGACTCCATGAATCACAGTTAGATATTAGCATCAAGTCTCTATTTCAAGAAAATCCAAAACGTCATCTGCACACTTGCTTTTCTTAATATTGGCACATATACCTAGCTGTCTCTGTATTTCAGAGGGTCGGAAGAGGGGCAGGTGGAGGGTGCAGAAGGAGAATTTTAGAGCTTACCCCCCATTAAGTTTCTTCACTTGTTCTTGTGTCTTAACTTTTTTGCTTTTGCAACCTAGGTTTCTTAGTGGGGTTAATTGGTGCTACATTTTTGAAGTCAGACTAAGTTTTGTAACTTCAAAGTGGATTCGTGTCATGAAGCGTAGATTGGACTAAATGCATATCAGCTGACAGTTGCATAAAAGAGAAGATATTTACCCTGTCTTATGTGAAGTGACTCACAACAAGTGGAAAATATATCTCTAGTTCTGACACGCATCAATGGCCATTGAACAATTGAAGTTTCTGTTTATGTGTCTCATAAATAATCTGCATTTTGTCAGTTAATGATTAGATGCATTTATATGATTTTCTGATTTAAAACTGCACAATATTGCATATGCAAGATTTTTTTCTACATTTCTCTATTCTTGCACTCCTATCGAAATAGGTTGGACAAGACGTTGTGGGAGAGTTATCAAAAGCAATGGAAAGGATTGGTCTTGATATGCGTGTGGCAGCTTTGGTGAGTTACATATAGTCCATTTTTAGTTTTTTTTTTTCATTTGTGCATTATAGTCCTTTTTCTGCTGTCCCTCTGGGGTGGCTGCTTAATTTTGAAGGTCAAATCTCTTTTAGCATGCAGATTTCTCATATTGCTTGGCTACTGTAGGTCAATGATGCAGTTGGAACCTTAGCTGGAGGTCGATACAACCACCCAGATGTTATGGCTGCTGTTATCCTGGGTACAGGGACTAATGCAGCATATGTCGAGAGGGCGCATGCAATTCCGAAGTGGCATGGTCTGCTGCCTAAATCAGGAGAGATGGTTGGCATTCTCCAAATTACTCAAGCAGTTTAATACCACAATCAAGCCTTGTTTTATCTTCTCATATTTTCTCTGCCAAATTAATTTCTTTATGGCATTGAACTGTGTAGGTTATCAACATGGAATGGGGTAACTTTCGGTCATCACATCTTCCACTAACTGAGTATGATCAAGGGCTTGATGCTGAGAGTTTAAACCCTGGGGAACAGGTCAACAGAGCACTTTACAGCTGCTTTGTTTTTAATAAGTTTATTATGGATTATTTTGTGTATTTCAAGTTTCTAATACCAGCTAACTGGTACAGATTTTTGAGAAGATTATATCTGGGATGTATTTAGGGGAAATTGTGCGTAGAGTACTATGCAGGATGGCTGAAGAAGCTGCCTTTTTTGGTGATGGTGTTCCTCCAAAGCTAAATATTCCTTTCATATTGAGGTGTGCCATCAGATCAAGATGTCAACCTTAGGTTTTGGTAGTTTGTGAACATTTTTTAAAGCGTACAATGTTAACTTTCAATTTTGGCAGTATGTAATTGTACATTGCGGTCGTGAGACATAATCTATAGATTTTCTGCATTCATATGCTTTTACTATTTTGTTCAACTAATTCTAATGCATTAAACTTGAAACACACAGTTACTGACTGCTTTATATCCAGGACCCCTGAGATGTCTGCAATACATCACGACACATCTTGTGATCTCAAAGTGGTTGGTGCAAAGCTAAAAGATATTTTAGAGGTATGGCACCAGGCAACAGAAAAGAAACACGAAGTTGCTAAAATGTTTGTTTAATTTCTTTGACAACTAGTGAATTCCTCTTCCTTTTTTTTTTTTTTTTTATTTATAAATTTCTAGTCTACTGGGTTAGCATGCATTATCATGCACATTTGAAAGGTGTTGTAGTACTTGGCAGAATGACTACTGACTTCTTATTTTACTTGTTCTCCTTTCCTGGTGGTAGATTCCTAATTCTTCGCTTAAAGTACGGAAAGTAATAGTGGAGATATGCGATATTGTTGTCTCCCGTGGAGCACGCCTCTCTGCTGCTGCGATCCTGGGAATTCTCAAAAAATTGGGTAGAGATACTATAACGGATGGAGAGAAGCAGAAGTCAGTTGTAGCTTTGGATGGCGGACTTTTCGAGCACTACACAAAGTTCAGAAATTGTATGGACAGCACTCTCCAGGAATTGCTTGGAGATGCTTACGAAAATGTTTCAATTATCCATTCAAATGATGGTTCTGGCATTGGTGCTGCGCTCCTGGCTGCCTCTCATTCGCAATATCTCGAAGTAGAGGAATCCTGATCCTGGTATGAGCTGTAGTGCTGCCAAAAATTGATCTACTGCGTTGGAGCTCTATATTTCTGTCATCCTTTCCCTGGGGGCAATTGCAGCAGCCGAATCAAGGAGATGTCGCGAGGACCGGTTTAATATATGGTCTAGCAGAGCTCCAAACTGAGCCATGGACCCGTGTGCCTCTAGATTTCTGGCCCGTAACTGAGACAATGTCTTCGTATTTTTGTTAGTAATTCCCCCCCTCCCTCTTTGGCTTAAGAGTAGTGTCTTAAAGTTAAGGCTTTGTTGTAAGATCATTTGGGCATTCAAGATTAGGTATAGTGCACATGTAGATGATACTCTTTGGATCAAATAAAGTCCTGCGCAACATATTAAACGGACTTGATGGAGATCCACATGAAGTGAGTAGCAGTTTTAGTACTAGGCTTCATCAAGTTTTTCTGAGGTTGTTTTAAGCAATCTATACATAAATTACTACATAATCTGTCAACCCATTTTTCCTAGTCGTGTTGCTAGACTATATCCATTTAAAGACTATACATATATTGATCCGAAACTTGTAGACACCAAAAACGAATGCTGCTTCGTAGCAGCTGCAGTGACTGCCAGCCGTTTTCATACGAGCTGTGGAAATGCTTGCTATAATAAGCTTTACTTTCCCTACTTGTACACCAATTACAGTTTGAAAACACCATGTATCTCCTAATTCTAGACAACTAGTATAAGCTAACTCATGCAGCCGTGCCCCCATGAACCCGCTCCAATCTCCTTAGCCTGCTTCTGTTGCTTGGTTCAGAACCTTCATCGATTTCCCAACTTTGTGGATCAACCACCTGATGGTTACATTTTCAAGCTTTATCAGACCATTGAGTCGAAGCCGCCATCTTCGTCGATCAACGACTTCTCACGCTTTGAGTTGTTAAGAAGGGGGGCAAAATCACACTCACTCCTGCCATTCTTTTCTCCCATTGGCACTGAATGAACAGAGCGGAGCAAAATTTGTAAAACGTCCCTCATTGTAGGGCGGTTCGAGGGCACCAATCCGGTACAGAAAATACCGAGTTTGAACACGTTGGCTATCTCATCTAAGTAACAAGGCTCCATTATGTCCTCGTCGAAGGCATCAATTATTGGTTTCCCTTCTTGAAAGTGACGCCACGCCCATTCTGCAAGCGATGAAGTCTCATCACCGTAATTGCCTTCTCTTCCAGTAACCAGTTCCAGAAGGATGACCCCAAAGCTATACACATCAACCTTCTCATTCACTCTTCTTGTCTGAGCATACTCTGCAATACAAAATCAAGAAACAGAACAACTAAGTTGAGTTTGGTAGTATTTAAAGTGATCATAATCAAATAATCCCCCTTTCGACAAAAAAATTATATAAAAAAAAATCAAATACATTTGACAAATTACAATACCACGTACCAGGAGCAATGTATCCGAATGAGCCGGCTACAACTGACATTGTGTTGGGCTCTCCATCCTTCACTAACATCCTAGCCAGACCAAAATCTGCAATTTTTGCATTGAATTCAGAATCTAGCAAAATGTTGCTTGATTTTAAATCTCGGTGAATTATAGATGGTGAGCAGTCATGGTGCATATAGCAGAGCCCTCGAGCAGCATCAATTGCAATCTGCAACCTCTTAGGCCACTCCAGGACAATATGGTGGATTGAACCTGTGTTAGCAGACCGGTTCCTCTTGCAATGAAGCCAACGATCCAAACTACGATTTTCCATATACTCGTAGACCAGTAACTTCGAACTATCCGTTGAGATGCAACACATTAACTTCACAATGTTGGAGTGTCGAATAGTGCCCAAAATCTCAACTTCTGCAAGAAATTCTTTGTGATCCAACCTTTTGCTGTTGCAAATCTTCTTAACAGCAACATATGCACCTGAACTATTAATTGGAACACGATAGACATTTCCTGAACCTCCACTTCCAATCATATTGCTTTCTGTCAAGCTTGATAGAAGGGATGGTGCAGTGAAATTCAACTTCTGAAATGAGGTTAATTTCCAAGTTGAATCCAATCCCTGTTTTTTCTTCTTGTAACCTCTGATCAAAAAGAATGTGTATACTAAAGCCACTAAAAAGCCAAATGCGGCTATACTTGAAACAGCTGCGACAAATTTTGCTGAAAGCTTGTTTGACTCCCGGGTATGGGAAGCACAGGCGTTAAGGCCTAAAGATGGATTACGTGAACAAAGACCAGCATTACCCAAGAAACTTCTGTCAAAAGCTGCATTTTCAAATTCACCAGGTATTCTACCAGAGAGGCGATTGGAAGAGAGGTTGAGGGAATTTAACCTTAGAAGCCCAATTTGAGCTGGAATTTGACCTGAGAAGTCATTTTCTGACAAGTCCAAGGCATTAAGGACAGGTAAAAGGCCAATTGCTGCAGGTATTTGGCCAGAAAGCTCGTTGTTACTGAAGCTCAAGACATTTAACCCCTTCCATGAGATTATGCTTGATGGCAGACTCCCAGAAAGCCGATTGCCATCAAGCAGAAGTGTTCCCAACTCTGGAAGAGAAGTCAACTCTTGAGGAATTTTACCACTGAACAGGTTATTGCTTGCCTTAAACTCCCTTAAATTATTCCAAGATGACACTCCAGCTGGAATTTCACCTGAAAACTGATTGTTACTGATGTCAAGAATTGACAAACCTGATGCAACTTTGTCCGGTAGCTGGCCAGTAAATGAGTTATTCTGTATCAACAAAGTTGTCAAATTTGTTGTCCACAAACCATCCGGAATTTGGCCTGAAAATTGATTACCTTGAAGCTGTACAACCTGCATGCTGTCACAGTTCCCAAGGGATGGTGGTAATTCTCCTGTAAGACTGTTCCCAAAAGCAACCACACCAATTAGCACACCGTTCTTGCATAAATCCTGTGGCAAATTTCCAGTGAAATTGTTGGCTGAAACCTCAAAGGTCCTGAGCTTCGAGTGTCTCCCAAAATCTGGTGGCAGCTGACCTGATAGATTATTGTAGAACAATTTAATGTCTACTAGTGATGGCAACATGCCCAAACTAGTAGGTACTTCGCCTGATAATTCATTGAAATCCAGAGCTAGCCCTGTTAAGTTTGTCAATTTGCCAAACTCATCCGGTATTTTCCCCGTTAAGCTGTTATGAGACAGGTCAATTATCTCCAAATTCAAGGCCTCAATTGATGATGGTATTGACCCGACCAGCCTGTTCTTGTAAAGAAAAAGATCGCTCAGATTTTTCAGCTGAAACAGTCCACCAGGGATATTTCCACTGAGCTCATTTTCTGACAAGTCCAAGGATTCCAGAGCCGTCATGTTCCCAATGTCTTGTGGGATCTCTCCAATCAAATTAGTCTGAAACATCCATAAAAATCTCAACTTTTTCAACCGAGTGAAACTCGAGGGTATGGGTTGTGGGACAAATCGATTAGTACTCAAGGCCAGCTCTTCAAGATTCAGCAAATTGCCAATCTCTGCAGGGAAAGAACCATTAAACAGGTTTCTGGCGTAAAGGCATTTAAGCCCCGCTAGCTTCCCAATAGCTGGAGGGATATCGCCAGTGAAATTGTTGACTTCAAGTATAAGGTACTGGAGGGTGCTAGGGGATAGCCTGTCAATATCATCAGGAATAGTGCCAACGAACAAATTCTGAGACAGGTCAAGGTATTCGAGCTTGGAGCAGTTGTAGAGAACTGTAGGGAAGGAGCCGGGGATGGAATTGTGGTTGAGATCGAGAACTGTGAGGTTCTTGAGGTCACAGATAAATGATGGGATTGTTTCTGTGATTGCCAAATTGGAGACGTTGAGTTTTGTGACTGATCCACTTGTGCAGTTGATCTCTGGCCAGGTGCATGGGTCTGATGATGAGGTCCAGTGGGACAGGGAGGGCGGATTCAGCCACTGCTGTTTGAGTTTGAGCAGAATGGTCTGTTCTTCTGGATTGGTTTTGGTAGTTTGTGAGTTGCCGAGGAAAGGCAAGGAGAGGAAGAAGATGGTGAATATCAGAGAGGTGAGCTGGGAAGACCATTGGGTAGTTTTGGACATTTTCAGGGGTGATTGAAGGAGGAGGATTACAAATTACAATGGAGAAGTTGAATGCTCATGGCCTGTCTGTAGAGTGTAAACTCTCAGGAATGGAATGGATGATGTACGCTGAGAGGAAATGCTTGGAAATTCTTATCAATTCCAGCGGCTATAAAACCAGTTTTAAAACCCCTTCTAACTCGCATCCCCCGCCGGCGGGGGGGGGGGGGGGGGGGGGGGGGGGGTCCCCACTGCATAGAGACTACTATGTGAGTGGTGGGATTAATAAAAAATTTGCTGTTGGCATTCCTAGTGGGCCTGCCTTGTTAGTCTTCCCTTGTCGCGGCCGGTTTTATTTCATTTAATCAAAGGCTTCGCAACAAAATATGGCTATTGGCTATGGATCAGGTATTCATATGTAAGAGTGTGAATATTCGTGCTACGTATGATACTGACATTATTGAAAAAATAAAAATAAAAGGGTGAATTAAAAAAGATTAAAAAATTGTACCAACATAAATAAAATATAATATCTATCTAACAATTGTTTGAAATATGATAGAATGTGTATATTATTCAAAAATTACTTTTTTTTGAAAGATAGATCCTGAAAAAATAATAGAAATTTATATTAGAAAATGAATGATATATGAATAAAAATGAATATAATTAAATGTTGTTAAAATAAAATACTTACAAATATTATGCATTCGATTTGATAATCTTGCATGAAGGTGCGAACACTCTTCACACCAATCAACTTTTAGTATGAAAGCCAAAATTGATGATTTAATTAATTCTGTTGAATTTTGTGGAATGCGTACTAAAATAAAAATGCACGATCTTTGCATGAATTGATTCGTTGGTTGAAGAACCTATCACCATTTTCCTGAGAATTAAGTACGTGTGAAATTCAAAATTAGTGTTTTTTTTACATAGTTTATAAATAGCATTATAAAAAATAAATATATATCAAGAAATTATACCTTCCTTTGTAATTCTCTGAAATAAGAAGCATTACAATCAAATATGAATCGTACATGTCTGTCTTGTAGATTAAGATGCATGTTACGACTGGAATCTTTGATTTGTATGTTAACATTGTACCTGTTTGATAAATAAAATGTTATATACAACACAAAAAAATTTGTTGAAATTAAAAGTACATGAAATTAATTACCCAACAACAGTGTTGGCCACGTCACTACAATGCATACACACTATTTTTGAAAAACGATTTTCACATAATTATTCACAATTTTTGCATAACTTATAGAATATGTTTTCTATGTTAATGCTCTGAATGTAAGCAAGTATTCGAAAATATTTAATCTAGTAAGAATGAAAGAAGG